ATATTAAACCAAAAGAAGAGAAAGAGACATACCTTTTGATTTTCCTTTTTATGAAATTAAAGTTCACTAGATAATGAATATATTTAATTCTTTTTCTCATAAAATATTCTCATTATTGCCATTAATTTTCTAATATTAATGCCTATCTCTTGAAATTCTCTTCCTATTATTTATAGTCCATTGATTTCTTTTCAAAGCAGTATTGATAAAAATAAAAAAGAACAAGTAGTTTGCTAACCAATTAAATATGTAAGTGCAGGGCTTTATGCAATGAGAATGGGGATGTGAGGTGTATCACATCTTTAGGAAAACAAACTACTGTCCATGTTAAATGGCTTTGAGATTTTACCATTTAGAAAGAGCTCTTTATGTATTTAGGGAGATACCTAATTTGGTACATGAGCATTTTAAAAATGATTTGTTAGAAATGTATAGAGTTAGAATCTCTAAATTAATTAGTTCTTAAGCATTGCTTACTGTAAAAAATTTTTTTTCCTCTTGATTGTTTCCTTTTTTGTTTTTGTTTTTTAACTAAAATTCCTAACAAAGTTCTCTATTATTATTATTATTGACTAGATAATTGTAATTCATGGAATCTATTAATAAATCAATCATGTTTGCTATGATATATAATTTTTATTCTCTTGATTTTCATTTTAGGCAAGCTTATATTTTTTATTATTTTCACTCTAATTTATTTGCTCCTAAAAGTTTCAAATAGTTTTTTTCTTATAATTTATTAGATTTATCATCAAGTCACTCTATTTTTAAAGATAAATTATTAATTTTTATTGCTTATTATTTTCACTAAATTTTATTTTGTTTCCTAAAATTCCTAATAATTCTTTTCTTTTTAGTGATTAATTGTTTGATGGTATAAATTATTGTCTTATTAGCATTCGAATTTTGGTTTTTATTATAATTTTAAAGCTCTTATAATGTTATTTTTATTTAATTTTTTATTCATATTTCATTTTTTTGTTTTTTACTTGGGAGTCATAGGCTTTGTTTGCTAAAGTTTCATGCAAACCCTTCTCTCATAACACTTTATCTTTAAAAAGGTAAGTTTTTTATATAATTGTATTAAATTATTAGTTAATAATTATTTTATTATTATTATTTTTAGTTAAGTATAATATATTAAATTAAAGGAAGGGGAAT